CCCTGTGAACTCTCCAAAGTACCCAGCGATGCTCCCTTCCAGGACGTCCAGGACACCACAAAGCCCCACAATGAGGAGAAACTGCTGAGATAAGATTCCAAATAAAGCAGCACAGGGAAAATAGAAACAAAAGACAAGATTCCCATATAAGTAGTGGCGCGGGCAGGTGAAACCAGACCCAGGAATAAAGATCTCATCAAGTTTAAGACCATATTTTTTAACCCTTCATAAAAATAATAAAAGAAAGGTGCTCAGGAGCCATAAAGCTGTTCCCCTCCTCTGCTTCCTAAACTTTCAGAAAAAATAAGTTCATATAAATATAAACAGCAGAAAATGATTACGATAGAATATTCTGCTAAGTTGTTATAAAAAAAAAACATACTAAGCAAGAGTAACTATCCTAAAAACAATAAAAGCATGCCAGCAAGACATGCCTCTGAAGCAAGAGAAAATAAAGAGAAACTTCGAGGCATCAGACAAAAAGACTAAACCACTTACAAGAGAAAGAAACTCAGATTCCTCATTAGAGAGCAATATTTATGCCAGATAACAACAGAACAATATGTTAAGATACTCAAGAAAAGAAAATATGAGCCAAGGAATTTATATCCAGTCAAACTGGCTGTCAAGGATAAAGGCTGCTGGCAAACTGTTACAAAACACAAGAACACTGGGAATACTGTTCTCATGAGCCCCTCTACTACAGAGGTGGTTCTAAAACCTTAGTGTGCATCAGAATGCTGGAGGGCTTACCAAACAGAGGTGGCTGGAACCCACCCAATTGTGCACCCCGGAAACGGCATTTCCAACACCTTCCCAGATGAGGACGACTGATGCTCCTTGCCTGGAGTCCACACTTTGAGAACCACTGTACTAGAGAATGAGCTTCAGATAACCAAAAATGACTGTACAGACATCAAGATAAAGACGAGTGGAAAGCATTAGATATTTGCCTCTAGAACTAAGACTGAATGATGGTTTTAAGAGAGTACAGCACAGGGCCGGCCCCGTGGCTTAGCAGTTAAGTGCGGCGTGCGCTCCGATGCAGGCGGCCTGGGTTCGGATCCCGGGTACGCACAGACGCACTGCTTCTCCAGCCATGCTGAGGCCGCGTCCCACATACAGCAACTAGAAGAATGTGCAACTATGACATACAACTATCTACTGGGGCTTTGGGGGAAAAATAAATAAATAAATAAAATTTAAAAAAAAAAAGGCTAATTTAAAAAAAAAAAAAAGAGAGTACAGCATGTAATGACTAAATGCTCTGACAATATACAGTGCACTTACCAAAATAATGAGGAGAGAATGGTGAGAAAATATCAAAAGCATAATGTTCTTGCTGATTGCCTTATAAACTGGGACTAAAAGGACATTACCTCAAACTAGATTTGGAGGGAGGGAAGGTAGGGGGAAAACAGGTGCAAATTAACAGTCAAACAAATGAACCTGCTTATCAAATTGAGAACATAATCACAGAGTAGAAAAAAAGAAATAATCCAAGCAACATTTGAACACTAAACACTCTCAGTAAATATACTGTAAGGACAAAAAGAACTGCAAAAAAATTAGAATTTTACAGTAGAATGAGAGTAGCAAATCTGAAACTAATTTCTAATTATTTTAGGATTGAGAAAATGAGTATATAGAACATTGATTGGAACCAGAGTTTTCAAAGTAGAAAGAGATAGATAGAATAATGGCCAGTGGGATGAGAGGAGGACCCTGAGGGGATGGACTGAAATTACAGACATCAACATGAATCTATGATTTAAAAGAGAGACATGTATTTTTTCATTTAGCTCTGTCTACTTAAAGGTCCTAGAAATAACGACACTCCAGTAGCAATAGGTACACTTTCCTCTGAAAAGAATCAGGATTCCCTGGAGAAATGGTTGATACCAGGGTTGGAGCAGGAAAGTCCCTGGTAACGCTGGAATATCTTGCACCAGAAAGCAAAAATGTGCTCAAAACAGCAGGGGAAATTATCAAAAGGACACAGCAGCTCCGTTTTAGCATTAACATGGATAACACATTGAATAAAAAGATTCCATGAGTGTGTAGTGATACTAAAAAAAACTTAAGGGAAGGAGGAGCTGCTCTTTATAGGATACAAACTGAAAAATACAGAGTAACAGAATTAGAAAAAACAATATTTTGCAACCATCACAGTAATAACTGAGGCAAGATTCATCACAGTATTTTAAAATCATGGGGTGAGGTTGTTGGGGAACGAGATTCTCACAGTCTAAAAGATTACTTCTTATTAGGTTACTTATTATTCAGGTTACTTATTATTTTAAAAGAGAAAAAGGTACCTTTAAAAAGGGAGAAAAAATGATGGCCTCACTTTATCATATAATTTAACCTCTGCAATAAATGAGATCACTGACACACCACCTGTCTCTTGATGTAACGTACATCACCTATATAACACATTTGCTAGAATGTTTACACTGAATCTAATCACGAGGAAACAAATCATGTAATTTCTATGGAAAAAATACTGTTTGTGTTTAACACTAATTAGCATTCATCTAATTCCAATTTGAAGAACATTTTATAAAACAACTGGTCTGGACTCATTAAAAAATAGGCAGGGGGAAGGCTATGGAACTATCTAGAAGAAAGGAAACTAGGAACATGTGAAACTAAATGCACTGCATGACAGAAAGTAGTACTGGACGTTCCAGGACAAACGGGGAAACGTCAATGTAGGCAGCTGTGTGTCAGATAGCCATATTGCTGATGTAACACCATTGACACATCACACTGATACATTTACATTTTCCTGAGTGTGATAACACAGGAGAATATCTTTGTTGTTATGAAATACACGTTGAGGAATTCAGCTTGCTCTCCAGTGCTTCAGTCAGCATCTCCTCACCCTAAAAAGCTACCCCTTTGCTTTAAGCAATATCTGTAAGAGTTAATGACTTAATGACTTCTTTCTCAATTTTCCCTTAATCCTAAAGAGCTTCTAACTGACTTCCATACTCTTGAAAATCATTTTGCTAAAAACTGGTGTTGACCTCATTTCCAAATCGAATAGCTTGTTTTTATTTAAATTTCATGCACTGGTAAGGTGAAAAGGAGGGGAAAAAAGAAGAGTAATAAATTTAATCTTGCTAAGTGTATGACTAATATTACTTCAAAAAAATTTTTAAACAAGAATTATAAAACTCTGAACTATTTTTTCAAAATACTTACAATCAGATTATTACTCAGAACTAATAAGAAACACTATCCTGCACGCTCCACCAATTCCCCAATCTACATTTCCAGCCCAAATCTCTCTCTTTAACTCAGACCCATATTTCCAATGGGAGACTGAACATCTTCACTTGGATGACAAATAAGTAACTAAAATCTAATGTGTTCAAGACAATCTGTTCCCTAAACAACACCATCATTTATCTAGGTTCCCAAACTAGTAATCTTAGTCATCTTTGACTCTACTTTTTCCCCATCAGATCAGTCACTAAATCCTTGGAACATGAAATCAATTCTCCAACCCACATTACCTTAAATTCAGTTCTTTGCCTCTCTCTGCCAGGAATCTCTCCCCATTTCAGAATCATGACCACAGTGTTTCCAGAATGATCTTCCTGCTAATAAAGGCAGGAGGGATGACAGAATTGGAAAATCACTATATTCCAACCTCTAATGAATAATTGTTCTAGGCAATGATCATTAGCGGCTCCTAAAACCTACACGTGAAACGTTAGGAGCTTTCTAATGATGGATCAGACTGAAAATACCTAATCTCAATGATCATTTTAGCCTCACTGTAAGTGAGTCAAGTAGACATTATGTGCTGTCCCACATGCTGCAATAGGAGGTACACAACACCACTTATGACTCTCCTTGCAAAAAAAAAAAAAAAAAATTAAACCCGAAATGTAATCATGCTTCTATATCTAGCTACCAGTATACAGGAATAAGGGGGATAGAGGACCATGTTAAAAGACACCACGCACCCAGCCAAACTCAAAATATGGAAAATTCTACAAAAAATGATCTGGTTTCTTCATCAAATAAACAACATGGAGAAACAAGGGGGAAGTTAGGGGAAGAAACTGTTACAGATTAAAAGAGATTTTAGAGATTATCAATGATATACAATAGGTAGACCTTCTTCAATTCCCAATTCAATCAAATCAACAAAAAGACATGTTTTGTTTTGTTTCTTTGAGACAACTGGGGAAAAATGAATGCATTATTAGTATTAGAAGATATTAAGAAATGACTAAACTTTTTTTGATATGATAATTGTATAATGGTTATGCTTAACAATTCCTGTTATCTACTGAAGTATTTCACGGTGTAGTGATGTGATGTCTGGAATATGCTTTAAAATACTCCAGCAAATGAAAAGGGAGAGTGGGAGCAGTAAACAGAAAAAAAGAATGGCAAAATACCGATAATAACTGAACTGGGCGATGAACACTGGAGTCCTGTGATACTGCCCTCTCCATTCTTACATGTTCAAATTTCCCTTAATAAAACTCTCTAAAAATCATCTTCCTAAAACATGAATCTGATCATATGACTTCCCTCAAAACTCCTGCTGGTCTTTCTACTGCCTGAATGGTCAAGTTTAAACGCAGCTGCATAGGACTTTCTTCCCAGGCTCTGCCCAGCCTCATTTCTGCTACCTTCCCTTGTGAATGCTCTAGCACTTCTCACCATTCTCCAAAACCTGTGCTTCTGCACATCTTTGTACCTGCTTCCCCACCTAGGATCCCTTGAATTCCTCATCTTTTATGGCTTAGGCCAAATGATGAATCCTCTATAATATAACTTTTATGCCTATCTTAGAAAGTTAGTCACTCCCTCCTCTGTTAGATTTTCCACAGCACACACATAGCTGCCTGAGAATGTTCCTCATTCTGTATTTCAGTGTCCTGCTTGCCTGGCCCTCCCCCTTCACTGTCCTGTGACCTCTCTGAAGACAAGAATACATCTTATTCTTCTCTGTATGCCTAGTGACTGACACATATTAAAACTGGATTTTTTTGAATGAATGAACATGTAATAATTAGCAGAGAGGCCAGAGTTATTCCTTTTATCAGGTAAAACAACTTAAAAGAATTCTAAAATTCTGAAAATCCTAAAGTGTATAAATAAAAAAGATCCTCCAGGGGAGTTTCCACTCATCAAAACCTTAAAATCGAGCCTCCAAACCAACTAGAGCATTGTCTCCTCATTGCCACAGTCATTCTGCACCTTCCCTGTTGTCTCTGCTTTGTCCAGTTACCCAGCAATGCTCCTGGCCCAATTTGGTGGCTGCTAGAGCTGTCACTACAACAGGGTGGCACGGTCATCCGTACCCTTCTTATTCTTCCTCAGTCGCCTGAGAAGAGCTTAATATAGGCTTTTCAGCAAATAACTTTGAAAAAAGATTTTTTCTTTGGTCATTAGACTGCTCCTCAAGATAGTTACAACCTGTAGATTTTAAATATAAAATAAGTTGATGCAAATACATTATAAATATAGCATTTTGACTTTAGGCATCAAAATACTATGTTTGAAATTACTATTTAGCCATATTTTAAAGGAATCGGTAGGTTAGCTGTACCTGGGTGAGCCAGCCCTGGAGTACCTGGCCAGATTCAACGAAGTCATGATACAAAAATTAGCTAACATCTGATGAACAGTTATTGTTTGCCATCAGAGAACAAAGGAATATACAAAGGAATCAGTGTTAACCTTAAAAATAACTATAAAATATTCAGGGGCCGGCCCTGTGGCTTAGCGGTTAAGTGCGTGCTCTCTGATGCTGGCGGCCCGGTTTCGGATCCCGGGCGCGCACCGACGCACCGCTTCTCCGGCCATGCTGAGGCTGCGTCCCACATACGGCAACTAGAAAGCTGTGCAACTATGACATACGGCTATCTACTGGGGCTTTGGGGCGAAAATAAATAAATAAATCTTTAAAATATTCACAACAAAGAATTAAAATCGCACATACCACAGGTCTAAGCACTTTCAGTACCCTAGCAACCCGTCTTCTCACTCATTTTAATAGTCTCACAAGTAAAATAAACATGTTATTTATTATCCAAATCAGGACAACTCTGAAAATGAAATGGGGCTCTATTAATAACTATACCAAGTCAACAGGCATAAATTGGGGCTGACCCAAGCAAATCAAGATATAGCCACCTCCTCTATTTACATAACATCGCAGTCTATGGGAATGTCCAGCAATATTGTATATGAGGTGTGATGACAGTGACTGATGATACATTTGTCAAACGTACAACACATACACACTCCAGTGTCTTCTCCCTCCAGGTAATCACCTTTGGAAACCATGAGCTTTTCAACAGTGCAACCATTGCTCAAAACACTTTTGGAAGTGCACTCTTGCACTCTGAGAACCTTTACCACGCTTTTTGGAGCACTATTTTGGGTCAAAAAGGAGGTGTCACTAGATATTATTTTCTTGCATGACATCATAAATTCTTATAAAGACAATTCCAAAGGAAAAAATTTAAAACCATTTTGGGCCACAGCATTACTGGAATAAATGTTTACTTCATAATATATACACTCTTAAAAATAATGTTTTGGGGGGCCGGCCCAGTGGCACAGTGGTTAAGTTCATGCACTCTGCTTCGGCGGCCCGGAGCTTGTGGGTTCGGATCCCGGGCGCAGACCTATGCACCACTTATCAAGCCATGCTGTGACAGCATCCCACATACAAAGTAGAGGAAGATGGGCACAGATGATAGCCCAGGGCCAATCTTCCTCAGCAAAAAAAAAAAAAATGTTTTGGAAGCACAAATTCTAATTCATTTTACATTAAAAAGGAATATGTATTTATTATTTTATAGCCACACTTCAACAACAAAACAGAAGTATTTCAAAAAACAATCCCTAAAAAAAAGTATCCTCAGCTACATTGTAAAATTAAGGCAAAACTATCTCTTAGCTGAGTAGTAGGTACACAGGGACTGTTTCATAATTTTTTCAAAAACATACTTGTTTGTTGGTTAGAATATGTATTGATAAAAAATTATTTTAGGGCCGGCCCCGTGGCTTAGCGGTTGGGTGTGCGCGCTCCGCTGCTGGCGGCCTGGGTTCGGATCCCGGGCGCGCACCGATGCATCGCTTCTCCGGCCATGCTGAGGCCGCGTCCCACATACAGCAACTAGAAGGATGTGCAGCTATGACATACAACTATCTACTGGGACTTTGGGGGGAAAACATAAATAAATAAAATCTTTAAAAAAAAAAAAAATTATTTTAAAAGACAAGCAGAAGACAAAATCCTTAGTATACGTTACTACCCTTAAAAGAAAGATCATATATGTACAACTTGCAAGGCACCTCAAGAACAAAAGATAGACTTTACCTATCTTTGTGTAACTGTGATCATTTAAGGGTCTGGCCCATATAAGACCGTGTTTACAAAAAAAAAACCCCAAAAGGTAAAAATAGTCAATGTTGATGTAACAGTACAGTCGAGAATTATCTGCATCATGTAACATCAACCATCAAAGCTCAAGGCAGACCAGTGGTCACCTTATTTGTAGATTTTCAGTTTATTAAAAATGAAAAGCTGGACCATATCACACACATGAATGTTATACAGCACCTCAATTTTGTTTTTAGTTTGAAATACCTGATGGTCAACAGAAAGATAAAAATGTATCCAAATGCTGAATGATAAAAAGTATTTTAATGAACAAGTACCATTTCTGCATCATGTATATTTTTCTGGTAAACAGCATTAACAGACCTTTTTTTGGTTATTTTAAAAACCATTTCTACCTTCCATGATGCTTACTAAGTCCTAAGCAAGCAGTGCTCCCAGGATTTAAGCAGAAAACTATAAATGGAAAAACAACGAGTAAGAGTTGGTTCAATTTATAAACAGAAGCTATAAATGAAATCTACATGGAAAAGTAAAATAGGGAATTCTTACAAGATTCATAAATAAAGCCAACTCAATTACTTGTGGAATAAGAGAATCAAGGATAAAACAATGGACAAATCCATGGAAGAAAACCCTTAAACCAAATGTATGTTTTAGTTTAACATTATCCCACTCCAGCCCACCAGCAAATCTTTTTCCAAACTGCTGATGACAGAAGTTTCACTTATTTGAGTTCCTTTAATCTTTTATCCTTCCTAACCATCAGGAAGAGCTACTAAAAAGCAATGAAGTTCCTAAAAACTGAAACGAGAATAGAAGAGAAAAACAAAAGACCTCAACAATCAGACCTGCTCATAATCTGAAATGGATTAAAATTTATAGCTTTATAAAACGATCTAAGAATTGTTTTAATTAGCAGAAAAATCAGACACAAGACGTACATTAATAATAAAGGTTAAATGTAAAAGTATGCGCTGTACCTGTAGTACTAACATGAATAGCACAAGAAATAACCCTCAGGTATATAAAAACAAGACGCTCAGATCTTGGATGAACAAGTCAAGTTTCAACATGTCTTTTCCTCCCACTTTCATCTTATTCTTAACTTAAAGGAAAATATTAACCAACATATTCGAACTATACTTGTTTCAAATCAATTGCAATCACAGGTTGGTTACGGAAAGAAGAGTTTGGCAAAAATGAAGGAAAGCATTCTGTGAGAATTAATCAACTATACAGAATTTACAGTTGGAATACTGGGTACTTTATTATTATTTGTGAATTCTTTGCTGCACATTCTTTGTATCAGTAAAATTTATAATAAATTTATTATACTAAAAAAAAAAGAAATATGAGATAAAACATGATACCTGAATGTCTTTTTTGACTGGTTTAGCTTTGTTATCTGTAATTTTCTTCCTAAATTCAAGAAGAACTTCTTTACAGTCCTCAAGATGAACCTCAGGCTCCCAGGTATCATCATCTGATGTATAGCCTTTCCATCGAACTTTGTAAAGGATTGTACCCTGTTATGTAAATTAAAAACAGGCAAATAAAGAACTTGAATTTCTAAAAACATACAATTGCTGAGACTATATCACACTAAAAAGCTTCTGCACAGCAAAAGAAACCATCAACAAAACGAAAAGGCAACCTCCCGAATTGGAAAATATTCACAAATCATATATCTAGATAAGGAGTTAATATCCAAAAAAAATATAAAGAACTCATACATCTCAATAGCAAAAGAAAATCCAATTAAAAAATAGGCAGATCTGAACAGACATTTTTCCAAAAAAGACATACAGATGGCCAATGGATACATGAGAAGATGCTCAGCATCACTAATCATCAGGGAAATGCAAATCAGAACCACAATGAGATATCACCTCACATCTGTTAGAATGACTTATCAAAAAGATAAGAAATAACAAGTGTTGGCGAGGATGTGGATAAAAGGGAACCCTTATGCACTGTTGGTGGGAATGCAAAGTGGTGCAGCCACTATGGAAAACAGTATGGAAATTCCTCAAAAAATTAAAAACAGAACTACCATACGATCCAGCAATTCCACTTCTGGGTATTTATCCCAAGAAAATGAAAACAGTAACTTGAAAAGATATATGTACCTGTATGTTCACTGCAGCATTATTTACTACAGACAAGATACGGAAACAACCTAAGTGTCCATCGATGGATGAATGGATTTAAAAAAACGTGGTATGTACAATATGGAATATTATTCAGCAATAAAAAAGAATGAAATCTTGCCATTTCTGACAACACAGAAAGACCTCAAGGGCACTATGCTAAGTGAAATAAGGCAGACAGACAAAGACAAATACTGTATGATCTCACTTACATGTGGAATATGAAAACAAAAACAAAAAACCCCAATCGAACAAACAAACAAACAGCTCATAGATACAGAGAACAGACCCGTGGTTTCCAGAGGCAGGGGGTGGGGAGGGTGCAAGAAATGGGTGAAAGGGGTCAAAAGGTACAAACTTCCAATTATAAAATGAGTCCTAAGGATGTAATGTACAGCATGGGGACTATAGTTGATAATACTGTATTACATATTTGAAAAGTGTCTAAGAAAGCAGATCTTAAAAGTTCTCATCACAACAACAAAAAATTTTCTTGTAACTATGTAAGGTGACGGATGTTAACTAGACTTATTGTGGTGATCATTTTGCAATGTATACAGATATCAAATCATTATACTGTACACCTGAAACTAATATGTCAATTATACCCCGATTTTAAAAATTAAAAATAAATGAATAAAAACCACAGTATCATTGATGTACTTTTCATAAACCAAAAACTGAGGTCTTTTTCTGATTACATAAGCAATGTGTAATCTTTGAAAAATCAGTGAAAAACAGGAAAAACCAAATAAAAGTCACCCAGAGATACTGATAACAATTTGCTCTATTTCCTTCATCTTTTGCAATTATACATATACATTTATCCCCCACTGGATGGGAGAACTTTTCAGTGTCAGCAGCTGTGTATGCTACAATTCATCTCTGCACTCTCAGTACCTAAGCAGCACCTAGCACACAGGACCTGATTAAAAAAAATGCTGAATGAAGGGACAAAAAACCTAACACGAGTTAGCATATAACAAACGGGAAATAAGAGACCTTAAAAACAATACAATATAGAGACTCGACCACCGTGTGGGTCCTTTAATCATCTCTCATCTATCTACTAAAACCGATTATTGTCCACCCTTCCACCCGCTCCCCTTCACCCCAGCCTCTAACCCACAATTCATTCCCTCACTTAATAATCTGAGATACACTAAGCACTTACCGCATGCTAGGCAATGGATCAAGTACCAGTGATACAAAGATTAAATGAAACTCATATTCCCTCAATTACTGGAGCCTACAAACTAGCAGGATAAACAAACATAAAGAACGATAATGCTTTAAACGCTGAAACAGAGGTCTACACAAACTGTTTCAACAGCACAGGTGAGGAAGCACCTCACTCTGCAGGGATCAGGGTCAAAAAAGGCTTTCACAGAGAAACTGACTCTGAGGCTTTGAAAGACTGAGCAGATTTCGCCAGGAGAGGCGCAGTCCGCGCCAAGGCACAGTGTGATGAAGGCGTCAGGTACCACAGTGCGACTGCAACCGTGTGATGCACAGGCACAGAGGGATGGTAACGGTCACGTTTTGAAGACCTTTAAATGCCAGCCTCTCGGGTGAGACTCTGAGGACCAACAGGCATTACTGAAGATGCTAAACCATAAAATTGATTATGGCCATGGCGAACACAGAAGCGACGGCGTGGACAATGGACTACAGACAGCTTACTTCAGGATCACTCCATCCCAGCACCGGGCCGCGGCCCCACAGGGGTATCTAAACACTGACGCCCACCTAATACCCTCACTGTCCGCCCCTCCTGACCCCCACACACCGCCTCCCAGACTGCCTCCTCTCTTCCGGCGACACCGCCCTTCGCGACGCCCGGAGGCGCACCTCGCACGGGCCGCGCCCCTCCAGCCCGCGTCCGCACGGCCCCGAGCGCCGCCCGCCCCGGCCCCACGCGCACCCCCTCAGTCTTCATGTCCAGAATCTTCTCCACCTCGAACACATCCTCCCCGTCCTCCTCGCTGTCCCCGACGGCCTCCGCTCCTCCCGCGGCGGCGTCCTTCTCTTCGCCCACTGCTCCGACTCCTTCTCCTTCGACCTCGGGCGACTCGCCCTTGCTGTCGGCACCTGAAACAGGAACTGCAGTCACGCTCGCCCCCTCTGCCGCCGCCGCCATAACAGCAGCTCCACAAACCGCCGAGGAAAAGCCGCTGCGACACACACCGCGGCTGCCGCTCGCGCCCCGCACTCGGCCCCAGTCCGCTCGGCAGCGTGACGAAGGGAACGCGCCAATGGCGGGCTCGGGACCCTGGAGCGACGCGCACGTAAGCCAATCATGTCAAGACGAGCGCGCCGGAACCCCGGGGAGCCTGGGGAGGCGGGTGGGCGGGCCGAGGGGGGCGCCCGGGGCGGAAGGGTGGGGCGGGGGCGCTCGCACGAGAGGAGGGAGGCGCTAGCCGGGGCGCGCGGGCGCTGGCGTGCGGTGACCGCCGGCCCTGGGGTGATGGTCGCAGAGGGGCTGTGTCCAGGGCCGGGAGGCCGGAGCGCGTGAGTGGCCCCTGGAAGTGGAGCTCGGGCAAGAGGACAGAGCGCTGCGCAGGGTCCCTTCCTTCCTCCCACGCGCCGCGCGGCCGCACCCCCAGGCTGTCTAGGAAAAGGGCCAGGACGGAATGCCCAGCAATTCCTACCTGTGCTTTTGATTCGTTAAACGCATGTGGAGGATCCCATCAGACACAACTCTTAGTGCTATTTTGTTTAGTGAATATTGTTTAAAGATGAAATTTTTAAGAAGTTATCAGGCTAGAAAACATTTGTTTTCCAAGTTCTAAGGTTTTTTTTTCTTCTTTCCATTGAAAATGTCGGAGGACGTGATAAAAGGATTTTGTCCCGGTTGTGAATGATTGACAAAGATAGTCACCCCAAGTTGCTAGGAAAATCTACTTAAGGATAAAATATTTTTCTCATTTTGAATTGCAAATAAGGAGTGTCTTTATAGCAGGGAGACTTTTATTTGCATTTTTGTTTCTTCAAACGGTGAAGTTAATTTACAAGATTAACTCATTTAAATTAACTCTCTGAGGTTAACTAAAGAATAATCCGTGATCCAGCAGATCCCTTTGCAGAGGCTCAGCAGATCTTTGAGTTGGCTCATTGGTTTATTATTTGTTTAGCTTACTAAATGCATCCTATGTGCCTTGATGTACTGGGCATTAAGAAGACAAAGTTCAGGTGGCATCGTGGTTGAATTCCCGCGCTCTGCTTCTGCGGCCTGGGTTCGCTGGCCTGGATCCCAGGTACAGACCTATACGCAAGCCGTGTGGCATCCCCCATACAAAGTGGAGGACTACTGGAGCAGATATCAGCTCAGGGACAATCTTCCTCCAGCAAAAAGAGGAAATCTTCCTTACCAAAAAAGAAAACAGAAAACCCACAAAGATCATAGTCTCTGCTCTCCAGGGACTCTCATCTATAAAGGAAGACACACCATTCTAATAGATATATATATTTTTTATTGATGTCTTTATAACTGAAATTTTGGTTGTATATTTTTGTTTGTCAATCACCAGATACATGTCTCCCTTCACCCCTTGTGCCCACCCCCCACCCCCTTTGCCACAATACGATTCTCTCTGATGGTGTGTTGGTTTATATTTCACATGTGAGTGAGATCACACAATGTTTGTCTTTCTCGTTCTGGCTTATTTCACTTAACATAATACCCTCCAGGTCCATCCATGTTGTTGCAAATGGGACAATTTTGTCTTTTTTTATAGCTGAGTAGTATTCCATTGTATATCTATATACCACGTCTTCTTTATCCACTCATGACACAAGGGACACTTGGGTTGCTTCCACTTCTTGGCTATAGTGAATAATGCTGCAATGAACATAGGGGTGCATAAGCCTTTTTGGATTGTTGATTTCAGG